TTGGCCCTCCGTGCCCTTCACAGTCGAAGAGCTTGTCTCCGGCTGAGGTACCCGTGAGGTGTAGGCTGGAGGATCTGTCTCCATTTTCTCCACCTCTTTAACTTGGTCTCTTCTTAGTGTGCGAGCACAGTGCAAGCAGGTTTGCCGCTTACCGGTAGTCGGCGTCAATCTGGGTACCTATTCTTGACATCGTTCGCAACTTTGCGTATACGCATCACGTGTATTGTTATATACAGGGTGTCCCAGAAATAAGTGCAAGTATTTTAAGGGGTGGTAGATCTCGATTAGAGGTGGGAAATCTAGTTCCTTAGTTCTAGTTCCTCCAGAGGAATAGTTCCTTGAACTAGGTTCTTAGTTCACAATAGTTCCCGACTAACATTGACATCCCCGTTGCTTGCTAATGGATTTCGTTTTCAGTCAGAACTATTCACCCCCCAGTTTACTATTCAACAGATATACAACTATTATACAGATCATTATAATTTTTATAATGTACGAAATATAAGAAGACGTGTAATTGCATATGTTAAAAACATATAGGTAAGTTTTATAGCAGATAAAAAAATTAAAGAAACTCAAATCAGAGTTTAAAAACTATATCACAAATCAATTGGAAGAAATAATACGAAAAATTTACGAAAAAATGTATTTTTCCTCACTTCAAGCTTTTTGTTTTTTCTAAAAATTCAGAATATCTACTTCGTTTTATAAGATATTTCTTAATTTTAGGGACCTAAAGTGAAACATTCCCATAAAATATTTAAAAAACAAAGTAAAAATCAAAAACAGTATCCACGACAATTTTCTGTGGTAATTAAGCCGCGCCGGCTGTGGCAATAGACAAGGCCGAATCCATCGTCGTCTCCTTGTATTATATCGCGGATCTGCCGACTGAATAGATTCCCGTGAACTAGTCTTTTAATAGTTCCTCTATGTCCGGGTCCGATAACATACGGTTGGCGCTCCCCACGCCTGCCTAGCATCAATCGCGCTGGCTGATCCATACATAAACTAGTCTTTTATTTAGTTCCTCTAGTTCCTTTAGGTCCGGATCCGATAACATACGGCATACGGCTGGCACTCCCCACTCCTGCCTAGCATCGATCGCGCTGACCCGATCCGTGCGTACGTAAACTACTCTTTTATTTAGTTTAGTTCCTCTAGGTCCGGATTCGATAACGTACGGCTGGCACTCCCCACTCCTGCCTACCATCGGGCTACGCGCGCTAGCCGATCCGTCGCCGTCGCATATTATTATATCGCGGATCTGCCGACTGAATAGATTCCCGTGAACTAGTCTTTTAATAGTTCCTCTATGTCCGGATCCGATAACATACGGCTGGCACTCCCCACGCCTGCCTAGCATCAATCACGCTGGCTGATCCATACGTAAACTAGTCTTTTTTTAGTTTAGTTACTCTAAGAAGTGTCTAGCCCTAGCAGTCAACTATTAAGCTTGACGAATCAGATTGGTTAGCGTGGTTATTTGAAGGGTGTTAATACATTTGTGTTTGTCAAAAACTCTAACGTGATTGGTCGGGCTTAATAGTTGCCTGCTAGGGTTAGTCACAAGTGTTCCTCTAGGTCCGGATCCGATAACGTACGACTGGCTCTCCCCACTCCTGCCTACCATTGGGCTACGCGCGCCATCCGATCTGTCGCCATCGCATATTATTCTATATCGGTCACAGTCTCGATCCCGGAACAGGTTCTGAGGTACTGGTTCTTTGAGAAACCAGGAACTAGTTCCTTTCATTCCGGGGTCGGAATAGTTCATTGGAACTAGTTCGTTCACGAACTACACACCTCTAATCTCAATAACTGCTGGATCTGTGTCTATGAAAGGAATGCGGACAAAAAACATTTAAATAAACAGCAATATATTTTATACGTCGACTTGACGAGTACGTCACACAAATCGCTCCGCCCACTCATTTTATTGGCCACTTGCAAATTTTTCGAATTTTTATTGATGGGACGCGTCGTCTAATTTTTTACGAAAAACATCGAGAGAATATCGTTTCCCCTCTCACGGATACCGCGTAGCTACAGAACGAACAGACGTACTGTAATAAATAAAACAAAATATTTTATTAATAATAACACTTTTTATACATTTAAAGTTGATTACTTAATTAACTTTAATCTTATTTTTTTTTAAACCTCATACTCATCAACACATCAACCTCATACATGTTGTAGGAGAACAGGAAATATCCTGTCCCCCTACAACATGGATGGGTTATTATCGACTGTACGATAAGTTATAACTAAAGGAAGGGGGACACAATAGATCTTTAAGGTTACAGTGATTACCCCCCCCCCTCCCACTCATTCTACATTCTAAATCACTTCAAAAATATTAGAAACTTCTTAATGAAATAAATAGTATGGACGTTATCTGCTTTTTTCTGCCATTGTCTGTTGAAATCTTACCTGAATAATATAAGAGAGTCCAACTTGTCTTATATTTATTTTAATTAAATCTTAAAGAACTACAATAGAGGTACACACAGGTTTTATTGTTATTACCGATATCGATATGCATATATTATATCACGAGACCTATAAATTTAATCGATTAAACTATTCAAATATATTTTGCGCGTGATGTTGCTTGGAAAATAGTTGAATGGCACAATAATTTAACAAAAAATGGAGACCGCGAAACGGTCGAGTGTTTTTATTCTGAAATTATTGTGCATGAAACTATTGTCTAAAAAGCAAAATCATGCAAAAAATTATTTGGGTAGTTTAATCAATTAAATTTATAGGTTGAGTGATATACGGCTAGATTATTTCTTGAATGACTTAGAATGAAGCGAATGACTTAGGATGAAGCAAATAACTATAAGAATTTTATTAACTATAAAATGTAACATTTTCGGACAATATTTTAATTACGTTTCAAAATGACGTCTCGTAAATAATCAGAGTAAGTAATGTTTGTGCTTCTGCTACCTTGGTTACGCATCCGAACAATGCATCGAGGACCGTTTCGCATGTCAACATATCAAATTCTGACCAGTGCCTTCTATTAAAAGATCAGCCTGCGGGCGAGATTTATGACGTCACGCTAGTTAGATATAACGGATTAATAAATATGTTGTAGAATACATGGAAAACATAATTATTCCTCAGATTTTTGGTTTGTATTTTAAAAATGATATAGTTTAAATGAAATATACATAATATACAGTTAATAATCAAGGTTCAAGAATATCAAATTTTCCAAGATTGTAAAATTCTAGTTAATTATTTTATGTGTACAGTTATTTAGGGAATGTCATCGATGTTCATTTCCAAGCCAACTAGACGCCGATTTTTTTCGATGATACGGTATAATTCTTATGTAAGATGTAAATAACATTAGACCAATTAAAACAAAGAAATATGAAAAATAAAAACACTAAATCACCACAATACACCAAAACACTTTTACTTTTACACTGGACGCGCGTTTCGCTAACCATGTTAGCATCATCAGCAAAGAAATATGAATTTCTTAGTATTTTTAGTAACACCTTTATTCTTGAAACTTAATTTTGTATTATGCAAATATACCAATTTTATTGTTATTTTATTCATATTGTATTCAGCCATCACTTAAATATTTGATATTAATTTGGTATTATAAATAATCAATACTATTCATTAAAAATTACTGAACAAATATATGTTATGCTTAACATACATTATATATTATCAAACAAAAAACACATTCTTCTTTTAAACTGTATCAGTCTTGTCTTTACAAAAATCTTTTTAAAATTTGAACTCAAAATAATAATCTTTTCATGATCTCTAATACACATATTCTTTATTTTTCCCTAGATCATAATACCTACTTACGTGTTTGAATCTATCGAAGCTGAACCAGCAACACTTGGAGTGGAGATTCCACAATATGAATAAAATAAACATAATTGTCCAGTTTTCATTAATACCATCATGGGAGAATATTATTTTTAAATTTATTAAAGATATTTTCAATAAAATTCTCTTGATTTATAACTCGTACCCACTTTTCTTGCTCTTCCGGACACTTTAGGCTGCCTAGTATAATAACTATCCTTAGTAACTATCCTTTCCACCAGGAACACAACAAAGATGAGGCATAGCACCAATAACACACTCCACTTAAGCTTTATTGATGAATTGTTAGAGTCTTAAAAAACACACACAAAAATCACGATAAGTAGGTAAAAAATGTATGGGCACTTTTAGGTTAAATCACTTGCACAACGTGTAATTTTAAAATTTCTATTTTTTATGCGAAACCGAGAGTGACCATATATCTGGTAGTAGTTGTTTATGTCACTTCAACACCAAAATAATTAGTTTTTTGCACTACAATAATAAATAATACCAAAAATCAAAGAGTTAAAACCAAAAATCAACCGACAAAATATGAAACGGAATCTAACCCAATATCTAAGTATGTACAGCTGATGAAGTAAACAAAAGTCCGCCCGTAGGCTGATCTTTTAATAGAAGGCACTGTTCTGACGTATTTTTCACCACTTATTTGTTCAAAATAATATCGAATAAGGGGTTTTCACCAGTTAAAATCGTTATTAAGTCATACACATGAGTTGTAAATCAATGTTTTTAAATGAACTGTGTGCCAAAATCTCTCAGAATTAGTGATAAACGACAAAAAGAAAACCCAAAAGGAAGCCGAAAAAATAATCGCGGTTAAACTTGTCTTGGGATTTAATCACTTATCTAAACAAAATTTATTCGAAGAATTAGATTAGCTGATTGGTCCATTTCACGATGAGGGAAATAGTCGTCTATAATTTTCATAATACGTTAACGCGTATTAACGTTTTTGGATTTTTAAGTAACAATGCGCATGTTCTGTATAACGAATAAAGTATAACGCAATAGGTTTAGAGGGCTTAAAAACTCTCTAATATTGTTTGCGTACGATAATCAGTCAATATTTAAATAAACAACATCTCTCTAATACACCAGCAAAGATAATTTTCAATTATCATAAACGGACGTTATTATTCTGATTATTGCCGCTGAATCGTGACGCTCGAATGATGACCCTAAAGTTGTTGTTGTGCGTAATATTAGTCTCGATCTGCAGTGTATTTAAAGTTAGTTGTGGAAGATACGATCCAACTTGGTGGAGTTTGGACACTCGCCCTTTACCCATTTGGTATGATAGGGCTAAAATAGGTATTTTCGTTCACTGGGGCGTGTTCTCAGTGCCTAGTGTTTATTCGGAATGGTTTTGGGCCGACTGGAAATCTGATGGTAAGAAATTTATTTATACAGGGTGTTTCAAGTAACATCTGTTAATCTTTCATTGGGATATTCCCCACGTAAAAATAAGATTACTTTTTATATCAACATAGGTCCGATTCTGCTTCGTTTCGTAGCTACGGGGATTAAATTCTTTACGTTTTTTTGACTTATTATATTTTTTTCCAAGTGCTTTTAGCGATTCTAATGAAATTTTGAGGATAAAATTTGCTATAAGTGCGACATATTTTAATGCTAAAAAATTATCGATATATTCATTCACCAAAGACGTGCATATGGGTTATAACGGGAATATTTTTCTAAAAAAACATGGACTCCACTGTATTTTTTTCCCCATATTAGCAAAATGGTGTAGACCGTTTAATGCCGATTAAAACTTGATATTTTGTCTAGTGCGGTCGCCTTGATAAGATAAACGCAATTTTATTAATTTGTCTAATAGTCAAGTCCAATAGCAGCCTTTAAAAGTTTTTTATGTCAATAACGGGCCAAAGTGTTAAATAAGTACTCGTTTTCCCATCAAAAAAATATGGAAAAAGCTTTCTATAAATATGGGTGCGGAAATTCATAGTTTTAAAGTTACAGGATGTATAAAACTTTAAAAAATAGGTCTTTTGGAATTATCTTAAATATCATTATTTTTTGTTTGAACTTACCGTCGGATACCGTATTTTTACGGTTATTTAGTCAAGTCATTTTTGTAAAGACTTAAATCAAAATAAAGTTATTTAAGTCGTTTAAATCATAATTATCTGCAAATCAATATAATTATCCCCAAGTCAAGACAACCAAAATTCAATTATTTCAAATTCAATTAGTTAAGTACCTATTTTTAAATTTTTTGTTATATTACCGATTTTCTTATTAACTATATTATAAGTTTATTTTCAGAATAACTACAAACAATAAACAATAAAAAATATACGTATCAAAAACATAAAAACACAAGTCATGTAAAAGTAAATTTTGTGGTACTTTGTACAGGGTGTCCCATATTGTGTGTTTTACAAGGTTTCTCGTTTATGAGCAGATATACAATGTCATGGTACACACAGATTTATCCTAGCCCTCTTAATTCCTGAAATACAGAGCGAATTTGAAATTGTTGCATTTATTGACTCCCCTCATATCTCGGATATCTTATAACTTATCGAAAAGATACGAAAACCGAGTTCCATAGAGTTTTCCACGTAGAATTGAGTGGCGTAACTAGGATGCTGTCATTCTTTAAACATTATCGATACTTATTTTCATAAAATTTTAATCTGCTGCCCGGTTACCGCTTGACAGATCAAACGGAAATGCCCATGGCTGGGAAGCTTAAATGGGAATGACAGTTCATTAAAAATAGTTTTTCCTCCAAGATGCAGAGGCGCAAAATATTAGAACTGTCAATATCAACAATGCAAATGTCAAAATCTGACAATAATAAAATTTGATTTTTAACTGACACGAGACGCTTTTGTTGTGATTTTACGGTTTGATTTCGTTTATATTTGTCAAATTATTAGCTTTTTTCGTTTTTCTGTTATTATCGATTCTGAACCGTCCTAGAATTGTGATGCGTATGCGCAGAAAGAAATATGAAGACATTATTTCATTTGCGCATGCGATGGAGAGTTATCGATAATAACAGGAAAACGAACAAACCTATATTGTAAAATTAAATTCCTTCAGATTTTTTGGCAGTATTCTGTTTTAGACAATGTTTTTTTAAAATGATGGGACAATTTGTGTCTTGTATAGACTCCTAGTTATTTTTTATCATGGAGTTTAATTGTTGTACACCGGGTTTCCGAAGGATACAATGGTAAGTAAATTAAATATATCTACTTACAGTTATAGATTTTTTAAACTAGTACTGCTAATAAATGCTACTTGCTGATCAGTTATTTAATCTTTTTACGGTGCATGGTAAGGCATTAAGGAGGCGCGTTCCGTTATATTAGCATGATCAGCAGATGGTTAAATCTAATTTAATTTGTTTTTATTATTTCAGGTCTCAAACGGAAACAAACTGGGAATTTTGCCTACACCAAAATTATATAGCAGTTTCCAATTCAATTCAAAGGGAGGAAAATTATGTAAAACTGCCTGCTATTTGCTGAAAACCGCCAAAGATTAAATTATAACTGAAACAACTTAATATATACTATTACTAGTCTTTTTAATATTTTTTTTAATTAATATCCGACATATAAGAACACTTTCTATGCTTTTAATTAAGTTGATTTATCGTTTATAATATGTTTGACCTAATTAAAAGCACACAAGGTGTTCTTACATGTATGTCTACATTTATTTTAAATTAACTAAAACAACCCCCCTTCCCCGCACCCCTTCTCATTCCTTAGTATTTCTTCCTCCGACTACCAGAGGCGCCCTTGTATAATAAAATTGAAATGTATTATAAGTTGCCTATCTATGGAAATGCCGTTGCTAAAAAATTTTCATAAAAATATATGAAAAATCTGCTTAAATATTTTCTAAAATGACTTAAATTTTTTAAAAACTTTCAGTCTTTTTAAATTTTGGAATAAATACTTAAATTACAAGTAATTTTGTGAAAATGACTTTAACTTTAAAGCAGTGGCCCAACATAGCTGCACGCGTAGAGCAGAGCGGAGCGGACAATAGAAAAAATGCCACTGGGGCCACTTCCATTTACTTCGATGCGTTTAAACGGTTCGCGATCTTCTCCGCTCTACGCTATGTTAAAGTCGCGTCCAAGCTACTCGAACAAAATGTTCGCGAACATATATAATTAAACAGATACTAAGTGAAAATTGTGAGATAGGTAGATTTATAAATAATAAAGCCAACAAGTACAGCTAGCCTTGGCCTATTAAGGCGCGCGGAGCGCGGAGCGCCAAACGGCTAGCTTTTTTATTCTTAATCTAAGGCTTGTACGCCAGAGCGTGCCTCTGCCTATGCTAGAGCGCGCGCGTCCTTGGAGAAAAGGAGTGAACGGCGTGCATTTCGGCGGACATTGTACCGGACACTTGGAAGGGTCTCATTTAATTTCGAGCGTCCATCTGTGATTTTTATTTTTTACCTAATATTCGACAATGGGAAACGCAGTTACTGATTGGGATCGTGAAAAACATTTACAACTAATTTGTTTACACAAAGAAAAGATTTTATAATTTTAATTTTATTGTGGGTTGAGTGTGAATAGCTATGTAGCTAGACTTCGTCCATATCATTTCATTTTTGTTAATAAAGACCTTTATGATTATTTTTATTAAAAACCGGAATTATTATGGGATTCTGATATTAAAAATTACTACTTAATAGACAAATAAAGTAAAAAAGTACATAGGATACAATCTAAAAATACAAAGTTGTAGTCATTTCCGGTGAAACAGGAAGCGACCGAAGGTAATTGAATACGTCAATCAATCCCGATTTATGTCATATTCTAACAAATCAAATTTCGTTGTATTATCTGAAAAAATAAAAAGTAAAAAAGTGAGCCCCTTTTGAGAAACACCTGGTAGCATCGACAGAAAATGAATACAGGTCTTAAAAATACACTATAACGAATAATCTACCAAAAGACCCCTGTAACCCTCCGCCTGCTAAATATTGATTCTTCAACGACAAAAGTTCTTAAACTGTTTACGGGTTAATTTATTTAATAAAATGCTTGCATTCGAAATCCGGGCACTCGAAAAAACAGCGACTACCTAAACGCATCCTAGATCTATAGAGCAAACTGGTTGTCGCATTCTTCCCCGCACCTCAGTCCTCGGGACCGATGCGATCGGCTTGCCGTCGTTTACGACCTGCTGCTACGAGTATATAGTGTGAATTATATATGTTCGCGAACGTTTAGTTCGAGTAGTTTGGACGCGGCTTTAGGTTGTACGCCTCATGTGGGGCCACGCACTTAGTCTTAAGTCAGCTTTAGAAATATGACTTAAAATCAAATGACTTAAGTCTTTACAATGATTTAAATAAAAGACCTAAGTATTCTGTGACCTTGCAGCTGTGCAAAAGGTTACATTAAAAATTATATAATTTATATACTAGAGCCATACCAATTTATTTTCGCAGAAGATGTTGACATCAAGGAATACATGCAGAAAAATTTTCCACCCAACTTCACTTACCAAGAGTTTGCAAAGGATTTTACCGCAGAATTTTTCAATGCCACCCAGTGGGCGGATCTCTTTGCTAGAGCTGGTGCTAAGTAAGTACATATTAGGTTAGACACTCGCCAATTTCCGACGACTTTTGAACCATAAAAATGTTGTCTGCTATGGAAGTAGGCTATTACTACTACTACTAGCATTACTCGCTGACGAGTATTTGACACGCATTAGAAGATGGTTACGCAAGGCGTTTTCTTTCATGCTTTTCTGTGACTGAAAAGCCCAATACGTGATATTATCTCTCTTCAGCACTCCGGACATTCATAGTCTCATGACTTTGTTGCCCCTCTACTTTTTGGTTATCTTTGTTAACTGAGTTTACAATTCTTCTCCATGCGTTCTATTGTGCGCTGCTTCCCCCCACTGATTCTTCATGCTCATCCCCTTTAAGTTTTCATAGAAAATATCCTTGTTTCTTTTGAGTTGTCCACCCGATTTCTTCCTACTGTCTACAAGCTCACCGTAAAGAAGAGATTTCGGTAGGCGGTTTTCTTGCATCCTGCATACGTGACCAGCCGATCTTAAGCGGGATTTAGTAATCATGACTTCAGCGCTCTCGCAACTAGCTTCTTCAGGGACGGATACTAAGGTGTCTCTGTTGCAACTTGTTTAAAGGATGATTTACGGTACACTGGACCGTACCCGAGCCGGGCACGTTCCGTAAAGTAGACACCGAGCCACCTCCGGGCCTTCAATATATGCAACACCGAGTGGACAACGGGGATCATGTCCGTGCCGATTATATTCTAGAAAACAGTGTTGCCGCAGTGGTACATTTGTACCAAATTTGATAATTTTAATTCTATTTGGTACAGTGGTACTACATTTTCAAATCCAGGATGATTCGGTACAATAATTATTTCCCACGCGCACCGAAAATAAATAGATATTTAATAATTATCGTCGTTGATATTGCATTAAACGCGCTTACCGATACCATTCGGAGACAATCCGCATTAATTAACGACGTATTATAAACGTTGAAATGTCTATAGTGTTGTCTATATTAAATAACCCGAACAAAAAACTTAAAAATTTGCTGTTTCTAACATGCTTCTATATTTGCGTTTTTTTTAATAAAATTTAAGTTTTCCAAGTATCGTGTGTAGTATTAGAATTACTTACATTTCTTCAACCTATACATACTTATAATTGGGTTTTCTGAATTTCTATTTCATGTTTTTCGTCTCGATTTGTGTCTTTCTCCAGGAAGTTTTTTTATGTAGAAATTTATGAAGAAATTCACAACGACCAAACCGGTTAAAGTCATTTGCAGATGTATTTTGTTGTGCTTTAAAAAATTGTACCAAAGTGGTACATTTTTAGTTTATAATGTGGTACGCGCTAAAAGTTGGGTGCGGCAACACTGCTAGAAAACAGTCGCTATAGGCCCGTAGACGAACGAAGTATTTAGCTGCGGCGACTCATTTATGTTTGCCGCAACGGGGCCGGAACGTAGCGGATCCGAGGAAAAATGTACACCGACATTTCTTAGACGGGGCACGGACGCGTTCCGGCGAAGCTCGGACCGTGCTCGGCTTAGCATGAATGTATAAGTATAAATAACATTTGACAATGTTTGGCCGTGCCTTCACCGTCGCACGGCTCCGGCCCGTCACGGTGTACCGTGAATCATCCTTAATGCGTTCATGTGCCGGCGGTACGGCACCCAGGTCTCGGTTCCATATAGCATGGTGGGGATTATTATTGCTCGGTACATTTCAAGTTTCGTTTTTGTGCTTAAGTCATGATTGTAGAAAACCCTGTCCTTTAATTTGAGGATGCTCTTGAGGCGCTGCTAATTCTGTGCTGAATTTCAGAGTCGATATTGGCCTTTTTCGAAATCATACTGCCGAAAAAATTTAATTCCGCTGCATATTGCAACAATTCTCCGATTTTTATAGCATTGTTATGATTTTCCGGGGGAGTGCACATGCTTTTAGTTTTATTGATGTTCAGCCTCGTATGCTCAGGTATATGTGTTCAGCATTTCTTGTTTTTGCCCTGAGTCTTTTTATGTTGAACAAACCGCCGTCGTGTCTATATCTAAAGGTGCGTCCAGACTTGAGCATTTTAGCCCGAACGAACAAAACGCATCGAACGCACAGAGCAGAATACGCTAAGTCTGGATCTGTCTCCGAGCCAAACCGAACGCGCCAAACGTTTTCCGCAGCGTGCCAGTAAATCGCAATTGCTCAAAGGTATTTTTGTTCTGCTTGTTCGTGCGCGCTCGGTTCGTTCTGCTCGTTCGGGCTAAAATGCTCAAGTCTGGAAATTGCTCAAACTCTTTCCTGCAGTTTGCTGTCCACTATACTATAATAGAGAGTGCTGTCATGAATATGTTGAATAGGAGAGGCGCTAATTTAAGACACATCCCTCTCTAACTTCTGTATTTGTTAAGAAGGGATCATGATGGTGACACTCGTCATTTTATTGTTGTTTTGAAGGCACACTGTAATAAATTTGTTGGGTGCTCCGAACTTTTGCGTAATTGCCCAAAGTGCATCTCTGTTTACAAGTATTAGGCTACACTCTTATGGACTACTTTACAACGACTACCTCAGAAAGCTATATTTTTTCGTTCAAATATCGTGGGAAAGTGGTCCGTGTGAATGTAACGTTAGATTGAGTTAAATTAAGAGATCTTATTGGTTATTCGTGAAGAATAAATTTCTATATTAGTATATTGAACTTTAACTAACTTAACTTATTCCAAATTATTTGTAACATCAGCTCTTTTTGTATTCTCTCTATCTTATTGGTGCATGACCTCCTTAGGTATGTAGTGCTGACAAGTAAACACCATGAAGGTTTTACACTTTGGCCATCCAAGTACTCATTCGGTTGGAATGCTCAAGATATAGGACCGCATAGAGATATTGTTGGTTAGTACTAAACATTTATATAAACACTAAGTAGCTATTTTTTTTTAATTATTGATTAAATAGACGAGCTTGGTACTGCTGTGAGAGACGCCAATATGACATTTGGTCTTTACCATTCTTTGTACGAGTGGTTTAATCCATTGTATTTAGCGGATAAAGCGAATAATTATACAACTCAGGATTTTGTAATGAACAAGATCCTACCTGAAATGCGTGAATTAGTAGAGAATTACAAACCGTCAGTTCTATGGTCCGATGGAGATTGGGAAGCAAACGAAACATATTGGAATTCTACAGAATTTATAGCTTGGTGAGTATAATTTGTGTATACCATATCGGCAAGAGAAGTCTTGGCTCCCTGTCTGTATGTCTATTAGTGAATCGCTATGACGATCTAATAAGTCGGAGAGTGAAAAATGCGAATTACAACTTAATCCAATAATAAGAAAATGTCCGAAATTCGAATGCATGAAAACTAAAGTTAAACGTTTTGATATTTTGACGCAACCAATTTACCTCTTTTTGGTTGCCAGCCTACTGGTATAATTTTCAGACCTTATAATCCTAGCGCCAGCCTAACATGATTTGTTCTCTTAATATTTAATTAACTAAACTTACTAATTATCTCCCGTTAGAGAGAAGATGCAGTTTGGGTTAAGAAATTTGCGGTTTGCGCTGATATTTTGTAAGTTGTTTGCTCTATTTAATTGCGGAAAAGCGCAATATCTGTTATGATGTCAAACAGCGCACCCTAGCTACCCTGAACAAATAAATGGAAACAAAATTTTTACTGCAGATTATTAGGAAAAAAAAGCTGTTTTAAACGAGCCCTTGTTTGTTTAAATGGGTTAACCCAAACCAGAGTTATCCTTATTTGAAAAAAAAACAATTCAACCTTCCCCCACCACCTTATTTTACAAAATACGCTTATCAAAAAAATTAAAAATTTTGCATAGATTACAATAGCAATAATTAAAATGTTAGAACCTGCAGATTTTTGAGAAAAATCCTGTTTTCTGGTTGGCAATAACAGATGCATCCCCGAGCGGACATTTTTCGAACTTGAAAATAATTTCCAGCGATTTCTCTTGGCCGATTTACTTATTATATTCTTTTTCCCAGTTATACGATAAGTAGTTTCTGAGATACAGCCGGCGTCCATTCTTAGTTGGCCACCCGGTACAAAAAAAAATGTTACGATCCAATGTAAATGTTATAAACTAATTTATAGGTTATACAACGACAGTCCAGTACAAGAAGAAATAGTTGTTAATGATAGATGGGGATCGTCAATTCCTTGTCACCATGGAGATTTCTACACGTGCTCTGACAGATATGATCCAGGTAATTCAGTTATTATATCACAAAACTTCCCTCTTTAGAAAAGAAAGTGGAAAGGAAAGACAAACCGTGCAAACTATCACCAGATTCGCCACTACTAAATGTGTAAAAGTTAGAAAAAAATAAATGTCTAAGTTTGGTATAAAAGGATACGGAAAAAATAATAATTTATACCCAATTAACATATATCAAAGATAAAACTATTTTGTTTTGCAAATACTGATTTATACCATAATATATTTTAATTGTTTTGTATTATCAACAGGTGCTGCAGCTTTGCAGCTCCTATACACTAGCTGCAACTGATCTTAGATTTCCTCCTTTGGTTTTATGATAATATATTGTAGATTTATCTAAATTTGTCACTACAAATTGTTGACCTTTTTATCATCTACTACAACACCAAACCAAAACAAACCTAACGAAAAGGCATGTTATTCGCCGAAATATATCGAAACCAGTACCTATGGCGTGGATGCCAAGAGATACATTATTTAAATTTATTATACACTCTCTTCAGTCTAAACGATATTATTTAAATAACTATTGACGGGGATGTTGCGTGAGGATCAATTAATTTATATTTTAATTGCAAAAAACATTATATTATGGCACTATCACATAAAAATTGGTTTTAAAACTGGAAATACCCTACGAAGCGTTAAAACGCTTCGTGAGCCCTCACAAACAAAACCGAAAATATTGGAACAAGAAGAACGTATCCTGTAAATGGGGTGAGTCATATATTTAAGAGAGGAAACGTCTAGTAGATGTTAGACTTAACGATCATAAAAATAAACGCAAAAATGTGAAACAATGAAGTCTGGCATTGTAAATCATGTGTGGCCAAAACAAAAATTTTGTTTGTATCCGGATTATAATTGGTTAGCCCAGTAATGGAAGCTTTTTCTTCAACAGATTGCGGTATTAAAGTCAACGGCGAAATCATTAACAACATTAGATTTGCCGATGACACAGTTCTTATTGCCGATTCTGATACTGGTCTCCAGAGTTTAGTGGAACGACTTGAAGGCTCCTGTAAGAAATACGGGATGAAGATCAATTAATCAATCTTAAAACTAAAGTCATGATATTTGGAAAGAACCAAAATGTACCAATTCCTATTAAAATAGAGGGCAATACCTTAGACCGGCAATACCTTATACCCAAATATTTGAACTTGTAGAACAGGTCTACAAGTTCAAATATTTGGGGTCCTGGATAGTTAACACCTTGAACAACGACGTGGAAATAAAAACCAGAATAGAACAAGCGAGAAATACATTTTTAAAAATGAAGAACGTCTTCCAGAACCCCAGATTGGGTCTAGATTTGAGAACTAGGCTCGTTAAGTGTTATGTTTGGTCAATCCTGTTCAAGTTCAAGAGATGAATCGCCTCGAATCGTTCGAAACATGGATATATCAAAGAATGCTTAAAATTCCATGCCCATATCACAAATACCGAAGTCTACAACAGAATAGGCAGAGAGAGAGAATTGCTCAATATAATAAAAATAAGAAAAACATCATACTTAGGGCATATATTGAGAAATGAAAAATACCACGTCTTACCATTGATAGTTAAGGGTAAGATTGAAGGAAAGAGAGGTCTCGGCAGGAAGAAACTATCTTGGTTGAGAAACATCAGAAACTGGACTCACCTAACTTTTGAAGAACTTATAAGGAAAGCCGAGAATCGTGAAGATTTTGCCAATGTGATCGCCAACCTCCACGAAAGAGACGGCACGTAAAGAAGAAGAAGAAGCCCAGTAATGGGCTACATTCAATGCTTCCCGTTTCGCCAGCCATAGGTCATCGAGGGTACATCTGTGGGGGCAGGCAGGACATTAAAGGAGATATTCCATGTCCTGAATGGCACCGCAGTCGCATTTGTCGGCATTTCTGTACAGCAAACCCCATTTAATTAGATTGATTTTTTCCGGAGCTAACCGGGTAGTAGGGGCTGGGTTTCATAGAACCTGTCACTATTTTGAATATTTCATTCAAGCTAATGTTCACTTTTTTGCATGGGCAGATCTACACGACACTGGGTAGGCATATCAACAGTTGAGTAACATAGAGCTTGAGCAGAAGTTCTGACCACGATATGTTTGACTCCCCATTTGCTATTGGTCAGCTTCCTTATTAGGGAATTTCGTGCTTCTACTTTTTTGCGTGTTTTTTGCAGTAAGTTATTGTTCTGACCAACACAACGGCAAGATAGGTACACATATCTGTGTGTTCTAGTGGTCTTAAGTCTCATATGAAGTCTTCGGCTCGCTTGTCTAGAAATCAGGTGGAATACAGTCACTTGGTAGGGTTGGGTTTGAAAGAATTATTTTTGTAATAAGTTGACAATGTTTTTAGGGCGGTTTCTAGTTTCTCCTGGATATCTTCAAATCATTTGCCTTTAACACTTATTCCTAGGTCATCTGCATATGCTCTAGTTAATGTTCTGACCTCCAGTTCTAGTGGTTTTGCCATCGACTCTTTTTGCCCTCGAGCGTAATGAAAAACAATCTGTTTTGGAGCAGGGATTCAAGTATCTTCACTAGGTGGTAATCTTTCAAGGTCCCGTTGGCTTTATGCAGTAATATCTTGTGGTTTACCGTGTCATAGGCGGAACTTAGGTCGACTAAGACCAGCCCTGTGATGTGTTTATTCTCCGGTGAGCATGGAAGGTGCCTCCACGCGTGTATTTTACACATATGTTAAACAAAGAAAACCAAAACGTCGGTGCTCCCTGGAAACGTTGTCCAATTGGACAACGGCCAAACATTCCACCACCGGAAACCAATGCAATCAAAAGTCAAACAACATAACTTAAAATGGTCTGAAACCCGGGTTGTCTATAGGGAACCTCACTAGAAAAAACGTGTTTTATAGTAAATAATAATGTTAGTAATCCTAGTATAGAAATGAATACGAAATATAATAGGATATAGCAGTAAATTATAAATCGCACCAATGCAATGCGTTCATTCTCAGTCAGAGAACCTCCCGCTTGACTGCACTCAACTTTTTTTACGGGTGAATGCCTTACTATAATAGTGCTCAATGGTTTTAGGATTTAAATCAGTTTAGACTTGATAACGATCAATGATACATCTGACCGAAACGTTGCGTAGGTTAAAATATAAAATAATGAAAGTCCGAAATTCTTTTACTTACTTTCTCCGTGACCGGACACCTTAAATTCATATAATTTCTGCCCAATAATATCAATACTGAGTCATTTTCTACCACATTCAACAAAAATATTATACTTTTAGGTATACTACAAAATCATAAATGGGAAAATGCAATGACAATCGATAAGAAATCATGGGGATTTAGAAGAAATGCAGTGTTGGATGATTACTTAACACCCACGGAACTAATAACAACTTTGGCACGAACAGTGAGTTGTGGAGGTAAGAAAAATCAGTCGAAAACTAGATACGGTAATCGCAAATCATTTTCTAATGCACGTAATCAATCATATCGAAATGGACACTAAAGCCTATAAACCTGGCTAAATGAAATGTTGGCAAAAATGTTTAAATTTGTTCTATAATTTAAGATACCGAGAAACTTTTCATTTTACTTTAGAGAGCGAATGATTGTAACAGATATTTTATTTAGATTAAAGCTGCAAAATTTACTTTAAAGCGATTTTTATTATCGCCATGTTACATTACTTACATTACATTATTAGTTTACAATTATCATAATGTCAGTCATTATTATGTATATCTTGGTGTTGGATCTTTGGGGTAATTCTCCTTTTTTGTCGATTTGCATAATCTTTTTTTTAATTGTACACGGTGTCCCACTAAGAATAGCTCTCGGCTGTATCTCGGAAAGTATTAGCCTTAGAGCCTACGGAAAAAAAATATATATAACTAAAGGGGCTATGAGAAATTGCTGGAAATTATTTTCAAGTTTGTAAAACGGCCGCTAGAGGGCGGAACTGCTATGGAAAATAAGAAAATAGAATTTTTACAGAATTTTGCCTAGATAATGGGTACTATAAATAATAGCTTCATAATCTTCAGTAAATTTTGGAATTTTTTTGTTGGAAACATTTTCCCCTATCTGCTAAAACAAAGTGGTGGGGGAAGGTAAGATCTGTCTTTATTTAAATGTTAATAACTCCGGACTGGATGATCAGAATCCAACAAGCGAGGGCTCGTTTAAAAGAGCGTTTCTTGCTCTATGTTACACCATAAAAATAATAATAATAAGGTTTTGAACGTAGACGCTAGGGGGCGCTTTCTTACAATTTAACAAACATAGCTCGTTTTTTCAATAAAATTAAATACGATAGTAGAAAAAGAGTAGAAAAAGCTTAAAACGTCAGCGAAAACCGCATCTTGATATCTTTTTTCAAACCGAAGATATTAGCAAAATTATAATAAATACCTAAAACTAAGCCCTAAATTACCTTATTTTTACAACACGGTATCAGTAGCCCTCTTGATTATGCCCATTCTAACAAAAAAAATAAGATAGAAACAGTTAGTTTATTTTAAAATCGACGAAATACCAGAATACCATAATACCAGATGTATTAATATCTAATAATTAAGATATTAATAACAGTGAACAAGAAACGATGATTCAGATTCCTTTATTATTTGAATTAGTTGAAGTTGTTGGCATTTTGAAAAAGCAACCAAAAAATAAAAAACGCTACTAAGACTATCAAAATGTTGATCTAATATCAATTTGACGTTTATACTATTACGTCAAAACCAACTTTTTTCCAAAACCTACTATGACTTCACTGAATCGTCGTTTCTTGTTCACTGTTATTAATATCTTAATTATTAGATCTTAATACATCTGGTATTATGGTATTCTGGTATGTTGTCGATTTTAAAATAAACTAACTGTTTCTATCTTATTTTTTTGTTAGAATGGGCATAATCAAGAGGGCTACTGATACTGTATTGTAAAAATAAGGTAATTAAGGGCTTATTTTTTGGTATTTATTATAATTTTGCTAATATCTTCGGTTTGAAAAAAGATATCAAGATGCGGTTTTCGCTGACTTTTTAAGCTTTTTCTACTCTTTACTATCAGCTAAAATTACATATACTATCGTATTTAATTTTATTGAAAAAACGAGCTATGTTTGTTAAATTGGAAGAAAGCGCCACCTAGCGTCTACGTTCAAAACCTTGTTATTATTATTATTACGGTATAATATAGAGTAAGAAGCGCTCTTTGAAACCAAACCTCGTTTGTTGGATTCTGATCATCCAGTCCGGAGTTATTAACATTTAAAAAAGAGAAATCTAACCTTCCCCCACCACTTTATTTTAGCAGATAAGGGAAAATGGTTCCAACAATAAAAATCCAAAATTTACTGAAGATTATGAAGCTATTATTTGTAGTACCCATTATCTAGGCAAAATTCTGTAAAAATTCTATTTTCTTATTTTCCATAGCAGTTGCGCCCTCTAGCGGCCGTTTTACAAACTTGAAAATAATTTCCAGCAATTTCTCATAGCCCCTTTAGTTATAAATATTTTTTTCCGTAGGCCCTACGGCTAATACAGAGTACAGCCGAGAGGCTATTCTTAGTGGGACACCCGGTACTTTTAAACAGAAACAGTTGTTTTAAGAACTAAATTTTCGAGTTTTTGTATTACATTGCTTGAAATTATGTGTTGAAAATATGACGTAGCATTTAAACAGTCGAAGCAAAGAGCTTGTAACTTTCCCGATAAACTATTTTGAACGAGAACAGTCAGAGAAGTAAGTTTGATTGGTAGGCACATTGTATCACTTAAGTTATTTCTACTTATTTCGGTATGTAGCTAGTAGATGCTGCCTTAAACTTAAATATTTCTACTGTGAGTGTTAGCACAGTGTTAGTGACTACTGTTAATAAATAAATTAATTATTAATATATTATTTATTAAATTAAAAATAAAACGTACAAATCGTTAAAAAATTATATAATAAATATATTGTTTTCCAATTTTACATTAAGATTCATTTCATAAATCCATCACAATCTGGGAGCGCTATCGCCATCGCTTGTCACTCAAAGTTGATCACGTGCATCGAAAATTGTTTTGCGATTAATTAGTATATTTCAACAAAATCGTATTTACAATTTAGGTAATTTATTGATTAACGTTGGACCTACAAAAGAAGGAATAATAAATCCAATATTTGAAGAAAGATTAACACAGCTGGGCGATTGGTTATCTATAAACGGAGAAGCTATCTATGAAACCGTTCCATGGTTGGTTCAAAATGATACTTACAATGGAAACGTATGGTCTGAACACATAACTATTTTTTAAATACCGCCAGATAATATAATATTTAATGTTTTAGGTACACAAGCTCGCCTTCTTATGGAGGAAACTACCTCTACGCTATTATTCTAGAATGGCCCAGAAATGATATTCTGACTTTACAATCGCCCAGACAAATATTTGAGATGTCTGTCAATTCAGTGGCGAAATTATTGGGAAATGGCGATACAAAATTAAAATGGGCCTTGACAAAAGATCACGTTGAAATCAGATTACCTAGTAAAGCGACGGTGCAGAACCCAATAGCTTGGGTTCTAAAAATTATTCCTGGATAACAGTGTATAGATACTGTATATTGTAGACTTAGGTATTTAGATATTTTTTTAAATATGCCTTACGATTATTTTATGCTCACAAATCATTATAGTATAAAATAAATTTTGTAAATTTCCTGAATTGGAATAATTAGACATAACTGTTAAAAATCCGTTTTTTTTCATTTAGTTTAGTTTCGAAAATTTAAAATATTAACCCTCGAGCGGGCGCGTCCGGGATTTTGTACCGCAATTTTACTAATTTCGTTAAAACAAAATATCCATTGGACGTAGATCGGTGGTGCCATTAAATATGCATATTTAGGAATATTTGACAGCCTGCAATGGGTCTTAGTAGTTGCGTATCCAGCGATTTTGGTTCAGTAGCAATTCTATATCGTAAACCTAGCAATTACAGAAGTTGCGGTACTAAGTTTTTTAAATGGAACACCCTGTATATTATTTTTTTATTTGATGAAGAATTGAAAAATGAACATTTTTTGTATTTAAAGTATTTCAATATTTTTAATAGTTTTCCGGATACACGCAGCATTATTACATATGGCGCTTTCAATGGTAAAATACGAGAGAAAAATCATTGGGTGTGGCTTTGATAAAAATATTAGCGATGGGAACTATCGAATGAATTAGACTATCGAATGGTTACTGAATGAATGATTTCAACTATCGAATAGTTTTATTCGAATAAAATCATTCATTCATTTGTATACTAAAGCATATGTGACAACCTCGCCGTGCGACTAAATGGTTATCGTTGCGCCACAACTATCGAATGCTTTTGATAAATGAAATTTAGTATTCGTTTGATTTTTGTGTGTATCAGTGCATTATTAGTTCTTCCAAATTTTTATAACTTCGCCTTGTAAATACTGTACTATTTTTGCGTTTATTAAAATATTTAAAATACTAAAATAGTAGTTTTTTTTAATTGACGATTGTGTGCAAAGTGGTCAAAATTTTTCCGAAAATTTGTGTGATTTTCCGTAGCCCGATCTTTCAATTATTTAATTTTATATGTTATATTATGGATAGGTTAGACTGCATTTTTTTAATTGGAAATTTTGAGAAGTAGCAATTTTTAATTGAGATGAGATGAACTTACAATTAATTTTAAAAATACATATTTGTATTTTAGATGTTTTAATAATATGAATTAGTTGAACTTAATAATCATATTTAAGTAATGTGGTTAAGTAAATGGGGTTATCGAACTCAAACTATGGGGTGAGAAAATTAAAATGAAAGTTTTACACGTGCCAATTTAAAAAAAAAGTTAACAATGTTTGTATTTTGTTGATGCTAATTCTCTTACATGTAGTTTTTAGCGAAGAAATATTTCATTTATTTTTTAAAGTAAATGCCAGTAAAAGTAAATATTATTTTTAAATAGTAAATATAAAATAATAAAAAGTAATATAAATTTTGATGTTTTCCTTCCATTACACTGCATGCTTAGAAAATTAATAAATGTTTATATTTCATGATTTTAAAATTTGTTGTTAATATAACAAATTAGTTCTGTAATTATTATTATTTAATAAACCAACGTTGCCATTTAGAGACTATATTATTTTTAAATAGGATCTAATATAAATACTTTTGACTTCTATTTGTTGTTTATATTTTGCTACTATTTAAAAAAATGTTTATATTATTAAATGATTTTAAATTTTGTTGTTAATAGGTATAACAAATTATTACTGTTATTATTATTTATTAAACCAATTTTTGCTTAAAAACATTAAAAATCATTTTCCTACATCCAAAATAAAAAGTATTATTGCAGTGTAACAACAGAATATTAATAAAAAAATGCAAAACATATAGACATACTATCCCTAACTAACTAATGCTTAAGAATAATATTCTTTGCTAATACCAACTAATACGAATATACGGCAACAGCGGCATGGTATATAGCAAACCTACGTCGCCGGACGACAACTAAAATCCAGTTTATATTTTATCAAAATCGATCCTGAGGAATAAATGAATTTGATAAATGAATGAATTTTATAAATGAATGGTTTTTGCTGCCGAATTACTAGAATACAATATTTCAATGCAGATGACGCATCTATTCGATAATTTTTATTCGAATAGTTTTCGACGAATGTTTTCTTACTAGCTATCGAATTATTCGAATGAATTGCAACTATCGAATGTTTCGATAGTATTCATTCGATAGTTCCTACTACTAAAAAATATACTGTAGAAAATGCCATATGAAATACAAAACCGGGAATATCTGCGAAACCGTTAAAAATTTTGAAATACCTACTATAAATACAAAAAATTTTCATTTTTTAATTCTCCATCTATTGAAAAAATAATATACAGGGTGTCCCATTTAAAAAAACAAAGAAAAATTATTGTATATTTTGGAAAGTTTGGCGTAGAATTTTGGAGATCCTGTATGATTTACGATTTCCATATTTATAGCAAAGTAAGTACAGACCATCTAGAGTAAACATCTAATACAGTTTTGATTTCAGGACAGTTCTTGTATTATTAATAATTTTTTTAAGAAAGGCTGAAAAATATACAATTTTTATTTATTTAGTAATATCTCTGGAATTATCGAAATATATTTACTCATGTCTTAGGTTTATGTAAACTGATCTGAAAGGAAGCCAAAAATGCAACAATATACAGGGTGTCCCATTTAAAAAAAAATCAATCCGATCCACTCACACCCCAAGTAGCATTTGGACGTTATCTAACGTCGGGTATACGTCGCGTTCAATAAACCCGACGTCGGGTACCAACGTCGGTTCGACCGCCTGACTACCCTTATTTACACCTAAATGGGGAATACAGATTCGGGTCGCCTCGACGTCGGTATCTGACCTAATAGGGAATGTAATCCTACCAATTACCAACGTCATATTACGTTGGATTTTAGTTACTTAAAATTCGTCGCTAAACACTTACATTACGTTTGGTTTCATATTCGCTACCAAGAATACATAAAAACCTAACCAAACTACCTAATTACAAATGGATTCATAATCACTCCTCGAATATAACTAAAAGTGCCTATTTAATTTCATGTTATAATAATTCTGAATCATTACTCCAGACATCAGTTTTGTCAACGGAAGTCACTTTTTTTATAGGTATATCTGATTAAAATACTCCGGAAAACAACGAGCGCCTTCAAAATTAGGTAGATTTATGAAATAAAAATATCTATAAAAAAGTAACTCGCAAAATATTTTTTTAATTTTCTAGCTGGTTTAATCATAAAAGTGTACTGTGGTTCCCCCCAAACTCAACATTATCAATATTATTCTACTAGAAATCGAAATGTGAATATAAATTTTAAAAACAAAAAACGATTTTAAATTGGCTGACAATCTGATACTTGTTAAGAATGGCGGATTTCTGTGTCCGACTTAACTTGAACTACCAATATACCAATTCCAACCGGGTCTCCAACGTTAGTCGTCTCACACGACCGAAGTCATCAAACCGGACAACCGGCAATCGTATTATAACGTATATAATTCCAACGTACGCCACGTAACCTCACTTTGCGTATCAGTGATTTATGGATTTGTGCAACTATAGTTAGATTTTGTTTTCTCCTTAAAAAAAAATGGGCAGCCACCTTTTTAAGCTTAACCTCACATTTGGGAGGAGAATGGGCCCAAGCAGCATTTGGACGTCGGGACAACGTTGTGTCACGCGACCAAACGTCGGGGCGCAACGTCGGCACAACCTCGTGCCAACCCTAGTCTGCACTAGTTTGGAGAATAATTTTTGGGTCGAAACGACGTTGGATACCGACGTTGGCTAGAAGCCTAATTTAGTACAAACTGCAACGTTGTTTAAAATACTAATTCACAGAAATACAAAACTAATATGGCGTCTAAGTCGCGTTTTATCCTAAATTGGGATAATTATAGTAAAAATATTATATTTATAATTTAGTTAGAGACATATGTCAGATGGCAGTGAAGGAAAACAAAACAAAAGTATTTAAGTGTGGAGGATGTTTGAAGATCATAATTATTGAAACACTTTAACCGACTCTGTAACTCGTTACCCAAGGTAAAAAGTTAAACGCAAACAACTTTATTGATAAATGTATTGTTTCTACTTTAAAAAATACTAATGGGCCTTGAAATTAAAGAAGTTTTAAAAATTTTCTTGAATTTTTTTTTTAGTAAAATGAGAATAATTTATTCGCATTCGAAAAAATTGTTTCCGCGTATTTTTTAGGGTCAAATATTTCAAGTTAATGTATTCAAAAAGCAGGAATTGCTATTTTAAGAACGAAACATTTTCTTATTTAACAACATGGCGGCTTTAACTTTGTTGTTTTGGAGATTAAGATGGAGTAGTTCGAGTAGTCGCATACTGGACTAATAAAGTCGCAGTTCGGCCTTAACAGGTAGTATACTAGTCGCAAGATTGCCTAATTTAGTCATTCTAGAGTCTAGCTTGTGCCGCCCTCTATAATCTAAATAAACGAGGAAGTGTCGGTAATATATGTCGATGTATATTTAAATTTAGTTTTATATGTACCTTTCTTATGTCCCATTTTAATTAAGTTTTTTTTTTATAAAAACAAAAACAGCACTGAACTGTCTGACTGAACAGAACAATGAATTGAAAATTTAAGATTTAAGGTTATGGTTCAATACAGTTGCAAAAAGGTAGTGACTCTACGTCCTACCAACGTAAGAATAAGGAAATCTAAACAACGTTGGAATTAGTAAAACAGACGACGTTTGCATAACGTTGGAATAGGTCCTGAAACTGACGTCGGAAAACTCTATATTATCCAACGTTGTAACTACGTTGTCCAAATCACCTAAAGATCACTTAAGCAAAAAAGGTTACAAGACAACGTTTATTCGACGTCGCAGAAGCTTCTACTTTGCTGTAGTACTAGTCCAACGTCGGCACAACGTTATAAAAACGTTTAAATTTATTTTAATACCCAAGGTAGTGAGCTAACTATTTTTTGTAACTAATCCAACGTTGTGTTTAGTAAACATGTGGTCGCAAGTCGTGAAAATGCTACTTGGGGGGTCTACTGGTTTCCTAAGCTAAAAAATGAAATTAAGATTCACCAGTGTAATGCAGCATCTCTTCCGGATAAAAAGCATTTATGGGTGGAGGCAAGACATCACTACTACTA